TGAGTTTCATAGACAATTTGAGCGAGAGTGCAATACTCGACTTCAAAGGAGCAGCGTGATACTCGACTTCAGATTAGCTATGCAAGATAGTGGTTTGTATTTTGGATTTCTAAGAGATTGGTGAGTCTCACAGATAAACAATGTAGCAAGTGGTGGACTTGCAAGAACGAAGGTAACCAACCTAATCGAAATCATTGAAAGCTTTCAAAGTGATGTCATTTGTTGCTTTTAGAAGAATACCTTGATCAGAACTTTGTTTAATGTAAAACAAGATTCTAAAATCAACTTGATGATGGATTTTAGTTGGAGAACCAACGCATTGGCTTAAGCGATGAATGACATAGCTGATGTCAATTGGTGAGGTAGATGAGCCTTCCTATTAGCCTTTAGAAAGCAGCAAAGTCATCAACTAGATCACATTTGGGGGAAACTTTGGTGTAGAAATTCATTGGGGTGCTGACACGAGTTGCATCAAGCATTCCTATTTCATTGAGAAGGTCCAAAGCATACTTGAGCTAGGACAAATGAATACCTTCAATGCTTCATACTACCTCGAAACCAAAAGGGTAATACAAGTTACCTAGAATTTTCATTTTGAAATGATCATTAAGTGTGTTTGTGATGTGATTAATATCATGTATGTTATTACCGATTAAGATTATATCATCAACATAAACTAACATTAGAGTAATGTTTTCACCATTTTATGTAGTAAATAGAGAATGATCATTTGACGTCTGTGTAAAGTCATGAGAGATACGAAAACAGTATAATTTGTCATACCATTGGTGACTGACTTGTTTCAAATCGTAGAGTATTATTGGTAGCAACATTTTTCATGTCTAGAACGTTAAGAAAGTTGTTATTCATTACTTGTCTTTCTTATTTACAACATATGAGAAAATATTTGAAATGAAGGGCATGAGATCCACTAGAAGGACATGAGATTGAATGTTACCATATTTCTCATTCAAACCTCGAAGAAATTGCAAGGCATAATCTTCATGTTTTCTTTGTGCAATTACTGAAACCATCTTGCAAGAACACTTCACTTCACACGACCACATTAGTTCAAGGTGGAAATTCTCGAGTTGATCCCATATAACACGGAGTTTGGTGAAAAACTCTGTAACAATATTATCTCCTTGTCTTACTGAATCATCTTCATTCTACAATTCTAAAATACGTAAAAGATTTCCCTAGAAAAATTTGGACTTCAGGTCATCCCATATGGCTTGAACACTTTCCATCTAGAGAATGTTATGTCGTAAGTCCTGTGAGACAGAGTAAACCAGCCAAAACATCAAATTAAAAATCTACGTTAATGGTAAACTAAAATATGAATAATGATAAGTTTTACAATTAAAACATTTTTTACCAACTTAAAACATTTTTTACTGTATTTTTCGTAGGAATGTATATTAAGATACTGTCTATATCTAGAACATTATTTTTAGTAGTTAACATTTGATCATTTAAAAAAGGCTTAATACCACTATTGGTCCCAATTTTTGTCAGCTTTGTTCGAAATTGTTCTAATTTTGTTAAAAGGGTTAAATATGTTTAGTCCTTAAACTATCAAGCGAGTTTGCTTTTAGTCCCTCTTTTAAAGTAAGCTACATTTTGATGTTTCTTCTTAAGGAAACCATAATTTTTCGTCCTCCAAAACTAACGACATTAAAAATAAGCTAAGCTCCCTAACGGTGTAGTGTCACGTAATTTTTTTCTCCCAATCTTCCCAACTTTTCTCCCTCCCTCACTGTCGCCGTCTCCTTCGTCCCCGTCCACCGCAAAACAAAAAAATTAGAGTGAGCAATCTTAAAGCAATCAAGTGTCAGAAAAACTCACTCGCGTTAATCTAATTCTTATCTACTTTTTAATAAAAGTCCTTAAATTCAAGATGGTACAATACTTCGAAGTGGGAGAATAAAACTGAGAAGATATCATTACTCAAAACAATCGTGAGTCTAGAGGCACTACATACAAAGGAGTGCTTCTGTGGCATAAGAGAGCATGTGGATGAATCCCGTGGCCAAAATCACCACGGCTGCAAAGGCCTTGGCACCCACGAGGGTTGTTGTCGCGAAGGAGAAACGCGCTGGAATTTCTTCCCTATAGCAGCACGTTGGAGGTTCCAATTTAGGGTCTACTTGCAGGTTTGATGGCGTCGTGGATGGAGGTGGTGAGGCGTTGTGGGGGTTGCGCGAGCTCAAGGCATGCGTTAGTGTTTCTGTTCTAGGTTTGATTTGGGGTTTTTTAGGCTGCTGCGCTTTCTGGGTTTTGTTTTGCAGGTCAGGAGGAGAAAGTCGCGGGGAGCTTCACCGTTTGGATGTTCAACGACGTTGCTTGTGGCATAGAGAAAAGTCTCACAGTGTAGGTTTCCTAGAGGATTGGGGTTTTGCGATTCTGATGGTTATGGTTGTGGAGGCTCACGACGGTGGCGAATGGTTGCTTATGGTGGTGGTCTCGCGATGATGAAGGGAGAGTGATGGCAGAGAGATTGAACTCATAATGGCACTGCTCGCATTGGATGGTGGCGCGATGAGGTTGCTCGCGTCTGGGTGTTGATGGTGGAGGTGCGTGATGGAGGATGGCGGCAGCTGGGGTTTCTATGGCGGTGGCTTCACTGCAGCATGGTGGCTGGCCAACGCGACATTGTGTTGGCAGTGCGACATTGGCGGTAGGAAAGATTGACATGGTAGAAAAGTTGGGAAGATTGACTCATTGTCAGAAAAAAAAAATGGCGTGACACTCTACTATTAGCCAGCTAAGCTTCTTTTTAACGATGTTGGTTTTGGAGGACGAAAAATTATGTTTCCTTAAGTAGAAGAATCAAAATGTAGCTTAGTTTCAAAGAGGGACTAAAAACAAATTCGCTTGATAGTTCAGGGACTAAAAACATATTTAACCCTTTTTAAAATGTTCAATGTAGTCCTAAAGATCGTAATTTGTTTTCAATTTAGTCCTTTTTGCAAACGCCGTTTAAATCATTAACAACCTAATATCCAATTGTTCAATCAGTGACACATCACCCTTGACACTTCATCATCATCTCCTACCTCCAGAAACCCTAATTTCCCCAACCCTAGCCACAACCTAACCCTAACCGCCTCCCCGCTCACGATCAGCCACCATCTTCGCACCTCTATCATCAGACATTTCGAAACCCTAATTGGGTGGGATGGTCACGCCACCACTACCGCTGTTCATCTTCTCTGTCCAGCAACCACCCAGAAACACCACCATGACCATCTTCCCCTTCCTCCACCGTGAACCGCCATCAAAATCTTGTCACGACAACCATGACCGTCGCAACGAGACAACGAGCCATGCACGAGCTCATCTTCTCCGTCAAGTCTTCATCCTGCAAAGGGAAATACAGAGAACGGAAAGGCCAATTGGTGCATAATCGCCACCGCAAAAACGTCATTCTCTATCAATCTTCATATTCTCCAGTCATTGCGAAGCTGCTCTTCGAACTTGCAAGTAGAAAGAAACCAAAAAAACCAAATCGCAAACAAGCAACCATGAGCCAGATTTGCATCGAGACGCTCCTACATTTTGAAACCCATTCAGTTTTCCTCTCGCGGCGTAGGCGTAAGGAAGCCTTTCCCCCTTGCATTCAGAAACCCTAATCTTTTGGGTGGGAAAGGGGATGCCACGTGGTAGTCTCTCATTGGCTGCATCATGTTTCAGTCAAGGCAGGTCAGCAGTTAAATGACACGTCATTCACTGATTGCACAGCTGGACATTTGATTGTTAACGATTTAAACGGTGTTTGCAAAAAGAACTTAATTGAATAGAAATTACGATATTTAGGACTACATTAAACATTTTAAAATTATTAAAACCATTTCAAACAAAACTAACAAAAATTGAGACCAACCTTTAAAAAATAATAAAGTTTAAGAATGAAATGGTTTACTAATAAGAATTAAATATCGAACTTTGATATTTTTTTTTTGTTACAAAGTTTAAATAATGAGTTACTTTTCTTAAAATAAGAGAATCTTGTAGTGAAAAAGATTAAAATGTTGATCTTGAATGTAAAGATAAACTTATTAACATCCAAAATTAGCCTATTTGATTTTCCTCTAGTTCTTTCCAATTGGCTCAACATCCTCAGTGTTCAGAATGAATAATATATCTTATCATTGTTTTACTTTTTTGCGTCACTCTTGATGGCTAAGATTTTTGGCAACAGAAGAAAAAGAAAATGTAAGTAAATAAAAGGTGTGATAAATACAGAAAGAGGAGAAGAGTGGTGTTGAAAATATCTGTAACTAATTTACTAAAAATATATAAAATAGTGAGTAGGAAGTGTTACGTTGACACGTAGATTGAGTTGATATTGGAGGTGCCTGAAATAACAGGAGCAGTAACAGTAGAGTGGGCATGAAATGAAAAGAGGAAGAAGATTATCGGTTCAAAACTAGTTTGCATCAAATTTTATGTGCATCATGTCACACTGATAAACGTAGTGCAGTACACTGTACAATGTTTCTTTATGGGAATCATAATTGAGCTTTCAGGATTTGAGAGTGACAATGCAGCAGGGACACGCATTATTCAAGACGCATGCAGTTTATTCCATGGTTTTTTTCACTTTATAAATGTTCAAATTCTAAATTATCTTTAACACAACATATTTTAAATGATATATAATTCATTATAAATACAATTCGTCCTTTAATATTTGATTCCTTTCCAAAATAAAACATCCAAATGTGTCTTCTACTTTACTCTTTTCATTCTGGCCACAACAAATTTTTCACTTCCCTTCATATAAAACATGGAAAAGAAGAAAGTAAACAAAAACAAGAACAAATGGAAGATGAAAGTTGACCTTCAGGAATTGTATTGTTAACACGAAATGACCCTTTCGCCCTTCTTTGAGTGAAAAACAATTTATATTAGGAGTAAAAGGTAAATTAAGAAAACATTATTTTTCTCTCTTTCCCTTTAAATCAAATATATTTATATATCCATTTAATTTTTTTCTTACTTTCAGATGACAACTTTTCTCTTTCATTTCTCTTGTGTTACTATGTGAAACAAATGCTTTTCATGGTCATTGTGAGATAGTAGGTATCGCATTCGTCTTAATTATGCACAGGTAAAATAGACTAATCTTGTGAGAATTATACACATGATAACAAAAATAAAAATCACAGTGAAGCTTCCGCCTGATACTGCGTCGTTTTGCTCATGTACGGACAGGAAGAACTAACAAAACCATTAACCAAGTGAAGATAAGTCTTAAGATCATGACACGTGGCTACATCTCCTTTCTTCAGATACGCTGATTCCCTGCTACTCACTCTTAACTCTTGTCCGACGTCAGCGTATACCAACTGCATGTCCTGAACAACCTTACGGAACCAACTCTGCAAACCCGCTACGTGGACATGGCCACTGCATGCCATGTCAGCATCCGGAACCACAAGTCCAGGAACTTTTGTGATTACATCATCGGAGTTCACAATTCTAAGTATTCGGGTTCCACTCTTTTCCAACTGGGCCCTGAACTTATCGTTACCGACCCGGGGCCCACCGAAGGAAACCACAGACACCATTGGTGAATTTTTGAACGTAGAGGTTATATCGTACGCGCTCAGAATCGCGAGTGCAGCTCCGAGGCTGTGACCGGTTATACTTATGCTAAGTGGCTCGTGGCCGTAAGACTGGATCACTCTCGCAACCTCTTCCCGAACCATGTCTTGCAAACTGGGACACGCGCTCGTTTTGGAGACGTAGAGACTCAAAAAACCGTTCTCCACCATGCAATCGTCGCTTCCACAACCCATATGGTTGGGCAATTTTGTCAAGGTAACACGAAGATTTTCCAACCATTCCAGACACGTGGCGGTTCCCCGAAGAGCGATCACCACGTCACGTCTTCCCAGGCGCTTAATTTCCTTCTCGTCTTCACAGACTGCTACGTAACCAATCCAACTGGATCGAGCACGTGGCAGTTGCGACACAGAAGAAACCCAATTGGGTAATTGAACGCCGCATGTGGCGTGTAAGTTTTTGGTTACTCTATAACCGGATTTTCGCATTCCGGTCTGAGCCAATAGTGATGCTTCAGGGAAGCGACACGTGGCGTAGGTCTGGGAATTGGTGTCGAAATCGAAAGCGCGATAAGCGGATTCTACGAAGTGGCCGTATCTTAGGATTTCGGCGCGTAGGTTGTCGTCAAGAGGGTCTAACAAGCCTTCCCAGTGGTTGATTCCTTGGTATTGGGTCCACTTGTGACCGAGTCGGGGTGAGTTGCATTCCAGTGAGTCAGTCCTGAGGCGATCCCAAGCGAGTTGGGACTTGTTGAAGGGTAAGGTTGGGGTGGTGGCATGTGAGAAAGTTGGGTTGAAGTTGGGTTTTGAGAAGGAAGTTGAAGTGTTTGGTTGGGAAGTTGGTGTTACAGAGAGTGTCATTGTTATAAAGACACTTGTGTAGTTGTGTGTGTTTCTTGCAACTGATGTTTGGGTTTGTGCACATGGAATTTATATTAGGAGAAAGTGAGGGAGAATGGACGGTGGTGGGAGAGAGAGAGAGATAAAGAGAGAGATAGAGAGAGAGAGAGAGAGAGAGAGAGAGAGATAGAGAGAAGTTTGTGATTTTGGTAACTGAAAAAATGGCTGCGCGAGTATGAGTGAGTGATCGAAATGATAGGAATAAAGAAAGAAATGAGGTAGGTTGAAGGAGAAAGTTCAGAAGATTTTGAGGAAATAAGTGGGACCTAAAAGACTAAAGTTAATTTCCTTGTAAAAAACAAAATAAAAAATTAATTTCTCCCCACGCCTTCGGAGGTAGTACGTCTTCTGTCACTATTGCCACTCGGTCAATTTTATTTTATTTTTGTATAAAAGTTAATTCTAATTTAGTTAGCAATGATAATTGGGATATATTCTATTATGATGAGAGTTGGGATAGTAAAACATGTATATAAAAAAAAAAATTTAGAGGGGAAAATTAATAAATATAACAAATGAGGATTAAAAAAAGGTAGAAATAAGATATAAAATAAATGAAGTGTATTTTAAGTATTTTCCTTTAAAGAAGAGATAAAAATTGTGGGGGGTTTTCCATAATTATAGAGAAGAATATAAAAAAATGGGAAAATGGGAAAAGTAAGGAGTACTCTTTGGGTACAGTAGGAAGCCGCGTAAGGCGAATATCATGAGAGGAAGTGTAGTGGACTGGTCAAGCGTCAAAGTATACGACTCATCTCAGACCTATTTTTGTTCAGAAAAAAACACAAATTAGGATAAATTCATTATAGGTTAAAATTATTTGAAATATAATAAAAAGTTATGCAAATTAAATCTTATTGAAAAATAAATAAATTCTGAGAGTTGTTTTATGTCAATTTTCGCTTAGCTGCGAAATTAATTTCGGGAATAAAAGATGGATAATAAAATATCTGCCAAAGTGTATATTAATATTTTTACCCTCTTTTTTTATTATATTTAAAAGACAAAATAAGATAGACCGTTCATGAAGGGGTTAATCTCTTTAGCAAAAGTTCACACTTTTTAAAAAGTTATTTTTTACAGAACTGTGGGATTTTAGAAAAGTTCATTATGCTTGACAGGTTGGCTTATTTTAAAAAATATTTTTTTTTAAATAAAATGTGTAATCTATAAAATATAACTATTTAAATTATCAATTAAAACACTATTTTTAATTTGGAATCATTTTGAATATCCATTAAATGTAATACATATTCTTTTGTCGTTTGAAGTGTTTGATGCAACAGATGTCAGTTCGTTAAATTTATTATGTTTAAGATAAATTTGTTGCTAACCCATAAATTTATTGATCTTTTTTGAATGATATTCTCGTTAACTAATAAGTTAATTGGTTTATTTAAGAATTTTTTTCGTTGAACTGTTTATATAAAACCTTAATAAACATGCTATCAAGGAAGTTCATTCTTATACAAAGACCAAGTCATACCATAAACTAATTTACGGACAATCTTGCCACAATTTTTTTACAATCATTAGGTTTAGGCAAAGCTCAACTTAAGTTGACAAATTTCCATCCTCATCATATTACTAATTTTATCTCATTTTTGTTCTTGTCTATTTTATTTTTTCCTTCGTTAATAATAATAGTAATAAACACCAGGGTTAATTGTGATAAAGCTTTTGATATATTATACAAGATCATATTAGAAAAAAAATTAAATTAAAAATATGCCTAAAAATGTATGGTAATTATATAGCTCAAAAAATAATATATATTTAAAACTTAAGAAATATCTTCCGAATAAAAAGTATAAAAGACTTTTTTTTTATCTAAATGTTTAACCAAATGTAAGACTAACCTGTATTTGTTTTCTCCCGTATAGTGGTATTTTAATAAAGTTGATTTTGTGGAAAGAAGTTGCTTAAATTTAACGTTTATCTATAATTGTAAAGGTATTACGTACTATTATTTTCAAAGGTAAATTTACTCATGTATTTATATATAATGGGAAATCTTAGAATTTTAGTTGGACTCATAAATTCGTTCATGACCTTCTAATTATTTTTCATCCATATTATAATGGGTTTTATGAAGAAATTTTGTAAAATTTGTTTCTACAAGTTTTATATCATTTATTAAATTTTATAACATTAATTATATTAATTAAATTCACTCTACCTTTCACAGTTTTTATTTTTTATTTTTGCTGAATATTTTTCATACTAGATTTTTCATGCCTCTTGATATACTGGAGGACATTTTACTTCAATATTCCATTTCTAAATAAATCCTTATTTAATGAAGAAAAAGAAAAAGGCTTTTAGTATGGCATTCATGGTTTGGTCAATTCATTTCCGTGGAATTATCTGTAACCCCACATAAAGATGAATACGAAACATAAAAATTGGGAAGAAGGAAGAATGAAAAAGGAAGAAGAAAAAGAAAATATATTAATAGATTAAAGAAAATAAGAAATATATTTGGAAAGGCATGTGTAAAAAGAAAATAAATATTTTGCAGTACTAAAAAAACAAAGAATATTCCTGCAGCTATTTCATTCCTTTTGTTTTCCTTTTTTTGGTGAAACGGCTATATTCACTCCGTCATTCTTATCCTTTATAACCTACCTAGTCTTTATCACTTACTTTTTTTTATCACTATCAAGAATCAAGAATAATAGTAATCTTTCGGTACGTAATATATTTGAGGGCTGCTCACTTACAATATTCATCATTTGCTTAAGCATTTGTGATTAACGTTAACTAACGATATATTAAACAATTAAGCAAGTTGCTTTTTTCTTCTTCTTAAAGTTTTGTTGTTAATGGATAGCAAAGAACCAAACTAAATAGTTTACGTTATTTGAAGAATTAGATTTCTTTCTATTGTACGTTTGCTCACGTGGCATCTTGTCCTCCATTATCGTCAACCTTAGTATTCTTTTCCTTCATGATGGGTGGCATGTGATGAATATAAGTGGAAAAATGAATTAGTTAAGTAATGTTATTTAACTAATTCAGTATTTTGAGTAAAATAATACGCTAGCTTTCCGTCTTAATTGTATATTTAAGTTGGAAATGAAATGATAAATCTTAGTTAAAAAACCTAAGCGATTGTGTTAATTAGTTTTTTCTTTGAATTTATGAAATAATTGTAACAGTTTAAGAGTTAATGTGAATGATAAAGTTTGATTTGAAGTAAGAGAAAGAGAAAAGAAATGAAGGTAAAAGAAGAAGGATTTGGATTTAGTTGGATTAGGATAACATTGATAGAAAATGAGGAATGAATTACTGGGTGAGTGGTGGGTCACGTTTTCTCCCCAATAAGATGATTGACATGTTACCAACAACCAAAGCAAAAGATTGCATCTATTTTTTATCCTTTCTGGACGTTCAAATAGCTCTTTGGATATTGCATATTTATTATCTAAGATACTAAACATAGTATAAACTTTATTATATTGATTATCAACCATTATCATTTTTTTAATATTAGATATATAATATATTTTCTTTTTTATCATTCAAGGTTTTAATATTTAATATTCAATAAAGTCAAAAGCTATAAGAGAATGACATATTTACAAACACAGTTTGTTAGTAATAATAAAATTTGTCAATAAATTATTTAGTTAAAGATAAGTGACAAACAAATCTACTAGTAAAGTGATCGTCTATAAAATTTTCTCACGGATGTACAAATCTATTCTTAAGTATTAATAATCATAAAATCATGGATAAATGTCTTTTGATAAATATCTGTCCATAACATTCGTTAGTAATGTGACTAGATCTCCTTCTTTTTTTCTCTTTTTCATTTTTCCTTTGGTTTATTTCTTTATTTTTTTTTCTCGTTGTCATTGGGTCATCGTAGCACCACCACCACTTCCAAGATGTTTTCATCTTTAAGATCTTATTTTAAGACCTAGAAAAATATTTAGATGAGATATAATAGATAATAGATAATAATATGTATTTAAATTATTATTGTTGTATTAAAATGTTATGATAGCTTATTTGATTAGAAGCTTTCTATTGAAGCGTGAGATTTTGGGTTTAAGTCTAACCTATAATGTTTAAAGGTTGTTCTGTTTTGTTTAATTTAAATAATGGTATGGATTTTTATAATTGTTTTTAGTTGATTTGCGATTTGTAGTTTTATTAAAAATATTATGAAAATTTTAGATAAGTATTTTAAAAGTTGATACTATGTTATGTTGAAGATTTTAGGCCTTAAGCCTAATGAAGATAAAAATTACAAACCCAAGTTTACTCCATTAGTTACTTTGAGTGCAACTCTAGATCTAAACAAGCTTTAAAAATCATTCATTGTGAAGAAAATTTGTGCATTAACAAAAAAGTTTAATCTTGATGATTTTACATAATTAGAAAAGTTACGTCTTAAAATACAAACTCAACATTATGAACTTAATATTCCATGTAATTCTGAAATGAGAAATCTATCAACGATTTCTAAGCTATGTTAAGGATCGGTGAAAACAAGAAAACTTTTACTTATCCTTGATTGATGAATTGGTATTAACTTTATCTGTTTCAATTGCTACATGAAGATCGATAAAAATAGACTTAAAAATAGGATGGAAGATGAATTTCTAGCAAATTGTTTGATGAGAAAGATTTGTGAGAAAATTTATATTGATTCTATTATGGGTGATTTTTATGACATGAAGGAATGATACTTAAATAAAAGGTGCCATGTATTTATTTATTATAATTTATTTTTTATTAAATTTTATTAGATTTGAACTCCTCCTTTCTTGAATTTCTGGATCCGTAACTAATAGTATAATATTTTATGTGAGTTTGACATTCACGTTATTGTTTGCAGTTATTTTCGTCCTTTCTATTGTTGATCTTAATATATTATTATAAACTAAGTATAGATTCGTCCTTTTTTTTATACATATATACTAATTTTTGTTTTTTGGATGTTCCCCTTTGAATGTTATCATTGAGATCAATACCAAACAAAACATCAAACCTAGGGGGTATATCAACATTCTCATTCAAAAGATTTTTAAGAATACCGTACAATTCTCATAAGCTACATTCCAACCACGTTCTATACCCTCCGAACCATCAATGTCAAAACTTTCAGACTTTTTCTGAAATTGAAAATTTTAAATTAAAGACTATTTCATTAAAGATAACTTTCGTTCCTTGGCAAACATTGGAACTTTGTGCACTACAAGCAATAGTTGAACTTCAAGCTTAGATAGATATGAAATT